GAATTCCGTGGCATCTAATTGGCCCTGGGTGATAGTGACCTGCTACTAGTGTATATGGTTAGTATTTCACGGCATACCTCCATTCCAAATATATTGGAATCGTGTGGTATCTATTATATTAATGACAGAACAATACCTATAGTAAATATAGTTGCTTTCAAGTAGTATACAGAGATGGGTTGTAGCTCAGAAAATTAAATTAAATTAAATTGAATCTTCTAATTCTAGTTTTGCACCAGAATCTACACGCGAAATCGTAATACATCAGTTGTAAACAGTTAAAGGCGCTACTTGCTATGAGAGTCTATGTTTTCAACAAATGGGGATGGACGCTGACTTAGTTAAGGTACAAAGTCTGATTTAGCGGTTTACAAAATATGTTACAATTATATCATTAAAACGTTTACAAAATATGTCACATCCACTTGTTCTTCTCTATATTAATTCAGAATTAGAGAAATACCAAATGAACTGGCAAAGTCTGGTAGATAAGGTAACCAACCCGGAGTGTATATAAAATGTTTTGATGGATTATAGTTTCTGAAACGATACACTTGGTGAATCTGCATGATAACATGATGTCATTTTGTGGCACTTTTTAAATTTGAATATAAATCTAAAATGGCCGCCATACAATAGAATATCTTCACATGTAATTTGTTCCTGCTTTATAATACAACGTTCTAGTTTAAATGTGCTGGAATATCTCTGGAACCAATCCTGTAATTATTTGAACATTTTATTTGCATAAATATCAAGATGGCTGCCATAGTAATATTCTATTGACTATATAGGCATCATATAATTTGTAACTTATTAACATGTTGAAAGCAAATAATTCTCTCGGAACGTCTCAGTCCTATTGCAGTATCTGCTCTTTTCTGACCAAAACAAAAATATCACTGCAGGCCAGTTTTGTATTCGTACCCAAGTGGGAGCTTTGTATTCTCAGTGTTCCATCGCTGTATTAGTTTGGTACACATATAAAGAAGGTTTTATATTTTGAGTATGTGTATACTACAATCACATTTATGCCGTCCCGAATTGTTACTCAAAATTTGTTAAGGCCACACTGTGACTGGTCAATCAAGATTTCATACGATCATATTGTGCCTGTGATTGGGTAACCAAGATTCTATGTGGTCGTATTTAAAGTTCAGGCGGGAATGTTTCAGATTACATAGCTATGATAGGTAGGTAAGTACTATGGATGATTGGATAAAAGAAACGATAGCGGCTGATTGGGCAAAATTAACTATAGCGGATTGGTTGACTGGTATGCAGTCAGAATTCAAAATCTGCACCAAGCTCAATGCTAAAATCGTCTCCGAAAATGCTCTTCATTATTTTATCCACCAATTTTGAGTACTTTGGCCAAATTTTGTTTATTTATTATTATTTTTTTTCTTTTTCTTTACATTTTATGTAGTTATTTTTCTTTTACTAATATCTGATTTGTAACCCTTTTCACCCCCTCCGGGGGATGTTGTGTGTTAATAAATAAATAAATGGAGTAACTCCATATTTTTGGTCTTACAACCACTAATTTCAGACCACAAAAATGCGAACAGGCTGCATATCTAAACTACCAGTAAAACAAAATACATCGATGTTCATAGCCGTAGTTTCGCGGAGTTATGTGTCCGAAAAGGTATTTTTCTTCGTTTGTCAATTATATACTAGGGTCCAGCTGTATACCGACGATGTGTATATAATTGACAGACGAAGCAACATACCTCCCGACTCAAAACGCCGCGAAACCACGACCACGGATGTTCATTGTCCTCTTGCAATTTGCTCGACGCTAACCAAAACTTTCTGTCTACCCACACTTTCGCGTGCTGTCTCTAATAAATATAGATCACTTACATAAATTGCGAGTAATTTTATGCTGCATGAGGGTCACTCACAAATCGTGGCCATGTCAAAGTAAACGCAAATAAAAGGGTGAAATAGTTGTAATCAGCAATTTCTGATTATCTGTAATTAGCGAAACCATTTACTAATTAAAATCCAGTTATTTTCGGCAAATCTTTTATGTAGTTACATACACTGGTCACGTGTCAAGTTTCGACCGACAATTGTGAATACTGTACGTGTATGACTCTTGTTTCGCTGACCAGATTCCCGATTATCTGTAATTAGCAAAACGAGCCATTTACTGATTAAAATATTGTTATTTTCGGCAAATATTTTGTAAATATTGTGCGTATAAAACCCATTTTTTCTGATTACTGTTTAATTTTCATTATATGTGTCTTTTTCTTTTGTTTCGTTTCTTCGATTCCAATAAGCCCTGTGTCTTTCCCACCAGGCCGGAGAAAAGAGAAGGCATGCGATTTTAGGACTCAATTGCTGCATTTTGAATATTGTAGTTTTGTTTTACAATACATGGTATTGTTGTGTAATCAAGTCATTATTATTATTATTATTATTATTATTGCCGAATTTTACAAGAAGTGTCACTACAGTTGGGTACCCAATACTTAAATTATATATTTTCAGGAAGCACGATGGTCACACTGACTATTAAGGCATTGAAATTGGTTCAAGTTGAACATTTGAAATTTATACCAGTAAAAGGTTTATATAAATGTTTTATACCAAAACTGATCATGTATTAGAGAATTATTATCTACTTCCTTTGTTTATGATCCATGACTTTGGATAAATCTACATGCTTTGAATAGCTGGATTCCATGCCAGATCTCTCTGGATAAATTAGCATATTCGGCGAAGATAATTTACTGATAAACCGGATCGGATATGAAATGCACCAAAAAATAGAGGCTCCTGAGTTAGATAAAGTAGATATTATTACTGCCAGTTAGAATTAAAAATAAACTATTAACTACCAGGTGCACGACACATCTGGTGATTATGGCTACCGGTAATACCTGTAAAATCGTCAGTTTTGCTTTTTCTACACTGAATCACAGCAACTTTCCAAGGGTGCAGCGCCTGTGCCCATGGAGGCAGACAGTAAGTACAAGTGATTGGAGTGACTAATAAACAAGAGGCCTAGCTGGAGCAGCCCCTTTAGTTTTCAGTGTCACACCAATTACTACCACTTTAGATATTTATTAGACAAAGTGGGTTTGAGTCCAAATTTAAGAAGCAAAACTGCAGACATTGTCCCAAGCCCAATAAAGATAGTGTCAATCCAATGCCAGCATTTAATACACACTAAAAAGTACAAAACTGGGTAGACATGAGGTATGTTATTCTACAGAAAAATGTCTACATACTGAGTTAGCTCAAACCTTGAAATAACAATGCCTCATTGCGAATGAAAGAAGTAAACAGAACTTGTTGAAAAACGTCATCAGCAATGTTGTCCCAGCTGATGGATGTGTTCAGCAGTGAGACAAAGATATTGATGGACTGTTCCAGCCAAAAATTAAACAGTTCTGTGGCCATCTGACGAGAGACCAGCCACTCTGCCTAATGCGGCGTGAATCCTTGATGTGCTTGCACTCTAAGGTGATGTTGTGCATTGAACACCAGTCTGGACTTTCCACTGTCAAACTGAACACTCACTAATAGCCATTAACTCAATCCAGTTGATGAATCTTGATAACTGAGCAGTTTTCCAGAGACTCCAGCCAGCCAGGCAGGCATACCACAAATGGATGCTGTAGGTTTGGGTTGTATGAAGGGCATTTCGATGACTTGCAGGTGGCCTGGTACGTACATACTGAGCTCTCTGAAATGTAGTGTTCTGGTGCATTGTTCCAATGTTATCATGTTGACCACTTTCATTTGTTTCCAAAGCATGTTATTTTAAATTAAGTTTTTTTTGCTAAAATTGTATGCACCTTTTTTAATGTGTTTACAGTATTACTAGCCTAACTCCCATTGTGCTTGCTTTGAAAACTGAATTCCATAGGCTGATCAGCGAACAACACACCATGAGCAAGAAAAAGGCAGACAAGTTGAATATCCTTGTTGGGTTCACTGGTGCAAAACTTGATTGTAATACCAAACTACAACTTGCTAGATATAAAGCAAGACATCTGGCAATGTCATCCTTCCATATGCATGTATATTCTATGGTAATGGGCGAGAAGATTCACAACATGGCCAATGTATAGATGATGGCATAATGCTGGCTGGATGACAATGATGTAACAATCTTCCCTGGTAGCCAAGTGAAATAAGTATGGCTTTTCTAAGTTCTAAGCTTTTCTTTTCTAACTCACTCCAATCTCACAATATCTCAGAGCATAAATGAAGGGCCAAATGTGAAGTGAAGTGATGTGTTGATCCAACATCAGTGAATCAAGTCTTCTGTGCCTGAAAAACTAATACTGGTAATGTGTCCTGTGGCACATACCTGGAGGCAGGCATTTCCATCAAGCAAAATCTAACTTAGGTACTTGGTCATCTTTGGACAGGACTGGTGGTGACAGACTCAAGTAATCAATCAGAATCATAACCAGACGATAAACAACACCGTGATGGTGATGAATCAGGAGATGCAAGTTCTTACCAACACGAGCATGATGGCAGATGAGCTCTGCTACGATGTTCGTCATCCAGCTTTTACATGTAGGAATCCCAATTGACAGAGATTCACAACAGGAGAAACACTAATGACCACAGGAATGACATAGGATGTAGGTCATTGACAGTCTGAACAATGATGAGTGTCTTCAGTGATTTCGCTGGAACTTCCAAACACTACAGTTTTCTCTTGCCATAACAGTTGTTTTAGCTATTTTGAAAGAAACTATTCTTTTGAGCTTTGGTATGTATAGTTTTGATGTATAATCATAATATGTTACAGGTGAATGCATTACAAATTGTTCTGGTCTGGTCTGATCAAACTATGTCCAATTATCTGGGATTTTGTATCAAATACAATCTGTACCAATCAAAAAGTCTAATCCAATGTATCAGATTCCATTAAGCAGAACATAAACAGAATAGCTTATCTTATTTATACTTCCATGTATCATTTCCACCTCAATAAGTCAACACACTAAGAGTCATTCATATTAGAGGGTAAGATGACAATTTATTTACATGTTGACATTATATTACATACAGGAAATAAATGTTATATTATGTTATGTTATTCAGTGAAATAAACCGACTGAGCACACATGACAAGTATTGCGACTACAGTGACAAATACAGCTATTTGAATGCATTTCATTGGAACTCACTCATATACAAGAAAAGTCAAATAACCTGCATGTGTTCACCAATATGTCTCGTCTTTCACCAAATTCAAACAAAATTGATCAACGAATGTCAGGACACTTGAAACAAACAAAAAATTACGTGCATCTGAAACCCACCATCCATGTTTAAAGTTGCATTCCACTTTGTATGATCTGAAAACATCTCACTGTCCCCTGCAAGCATGATAAGGCTTTGAATTTTGTACAGTTCATGAGAAATCTGAAAGTTTTTTGAAAAACATGTCAATTGCCTTGAGTAAATACAACAATGACAATTATGTTTAAACTGGTGATAAAACATGTCCTTCAGCGCAGGCTTGCTTCAGTGCTACAATATTTCGGATTTTGTGACCATACCAACTGACTTCTCATGGTGATCACAATATCATAAAAGGTGTTCTACATATAATACAAAGTGGGAATGCAGTTCTAATAAAAGTTTGAATGAAATTTATCCATGCTTGTCTATGTTTTGTGTTTTTATTTTGGGGGAAAGACAATAAAGGTTACCAGTCATTCAAAAGCCATAAAATAAAAAAACATGATATATTTATTAACTTTGAACAAAAAAGTCCAAGCATGGCGGGTATTCGACTGAAGGATGAACATATTACCAGTTATAGAACTTACATCCAAACAAGGAAGAGAAAGGCAGCTACATGTATAATAAATAAATACAAATGGAAATTGACGTAAATATGAATGACATCATGTAGTGGCTTTGTATCAACATGGACTGGACACGTGAAAGAAAGAAAACAGTCTTCGACTTGGTACATTTTATTCAATAGCTGTTTCAAAATGATATGAAAACTGAAATTTGACTCATGAGGGGTCCCAGCAAGTATGTACACTTTTGTGTGAATAGGCACATCCATGTGGCAGATATATTGTACCCATAAAATTTGAACAAAATTCATCCATGGAAAGTCTAAAACATATCCAAGATGGCAGCAGACTGTATGTCCTCAGTCGAGTCATGGTATGCAAGACACTCAGTAGCAATCTTTATTATAAAGTTATGTAAATATTAAAATGGTCTGAATTGATGTGTCATCAAGGAGAATATAACTACTCTAGCTATCCCAACATGCAACTGGCAGCAATGCAGGACAAAGGCAAGATGAATAGACAATAAATTACATAGTGTCAATATTCAGTTTGATTTAAAATAGCTTACATTCACAAATACTACAATATCTGAGTAAATAATCAGGAAGATCCACAACATCCCCCACCACTTGGTTGTTCAGGTTCATCATCAACTATTGTCACTGTTTTAGTGCGATTTGATCGTGATGTTGTCGTGCTTTTATGTGTATCTTCTGACTGTCTTTCAATCATTCCTAAAGAAACACATTATAACAAATTACATATTGAAGATGTAGCAAAAATCAGTTAATACCCAGTACACTGTGATGTGTAGTCAAATTCAATCAGTCTTGTTTTTGATTTGTACCAAAGCCTTGGAATAAGCAAGGAACTGATTCAATTACCTTAACAAAAGACAAGTGGTATCAACTTACTTTTACTAAGATCAAGAAACATTTCTTCAATTCCTTTATTTAGTTTAGCTGTAGTATGAAAATGTTTAGCCCCTACTGATGCTGCATATCTAGAATTAAAAACATAGCAACTATTACAACCTTGCCCATTGAGAATCACGATTAAACAAATTTTGTTTAGTAAATAAAACTAAAATAGGTCCACTATTTTGAATCTGAACAATAAACAAATGCATTTTAGTAAGTGTAACATGATGTACAATTTAGATTTAGATTAGAATGACTCTAAAACAGCATTTATCATTTGGCCATCTTCAATCCGGTCCGGTCAGGAAAACTGTTCATGTATGACCAAGATACAGGTTCAGAATGGCAAAAATGTATGATTTCGATGCATTGTTAATATTAAAATGCCCGTTAAGTAAAACAAAATTGCAGTACTTATGTAAGTAATGTACCAACTGATACTAAAAAAATAATGGCTGCCAGTTAGCCATTTAGAATCCAATGAGACATTTTATAATGAATCCAGATAAAAATTGTTTGAGTAATTATCACCAACAACAGCAACAACAAAGACAGGCATTTCTCCTCATATATCATCTACAATGATACAGACAATGTAATTATAGATAGATAAATAAGTTTCATTTCAATGTACAATGCTTATATAATGAGTCAATCTACACAATACAATGAGCAGTTGATGAGAGCACATTGAGGGAAAGACTGTAGAACGTATCATAGTAAAGTGAAAACAATCCAATCAAATATACATGTAGATACAAATACATACATTATTTACAAGATGTGAAAATATTATAGATGAAATTACTTTCTACTCACGATTCTGCATCAGCAACTGGAACATGCCTTTCTTTTTCTAAATCTATTTTATTGCCTGCAAAACAAACAAACATTTAATAGAAACAACAGCTAGTCCATAGACAATAGGTACAGGTAGTCCATAGACAATAGGTGCAGCTAGTCCAAAGACAATAGGTGCAGCTAGTCCAAAGACAATAGGTGCAGCTAGTCCATAGACAGTAGGTGCAGCTAGTCCATAGACAGTAGGTGCAGGTAGTCCATAGACAGTAGGTATAGGTAGTCCATAGACAGTAGGTATAGGTAGTCCATAGACAGTAGGTATAGGTAGTCCATAGACAGTAGGTATAGGTAGTCCATAGACAGTAGGTATAGGTAGTCCATAGACAGTAGGTATAGGTAGTCCATAGACAGTAGGTATAGGTAGTCCATAGACAGTAGGTATAGGTAGTCCATAGACAGTAGGTATAGGTAGTCCATAGACAGTAGGTATAGGTAGTCCATAGACAGTAGGTATAGGTAGTCCATAGACAGTAGGTATAGGTAGTCCATAGACAGTAGGTATAGGTAGTCCATAGACAGTAGGTATAGGTAGTCCATAGACAGTAGGTATAGGTAGTCCATAGACAGTAGGTATAGGTAGTCCATAGACAGTAGGTATAGGTAGTCCATAGACAGTAGGTATAGGTAGTCCATAGACAGTAGGTATAGGTAGTCCATAGACGGTAGGTATAGGTAGTCCATAGACGGTAGGTATAGGTAGTCCATAGACAGAAGGTATAGGGTGGGATATAGATAGTTCATTGTCAAAACACAGGTGAAATGAAAACGTACCTGCTATACACAATGCAATATCATTTCCTAACATTTTTCTCAATTCTTTGACCCAATTTTTAACCTGGAAAAAAAAAATTATGCAAGATCTATAGAATTTTTTTCAATTCTGATAACATTATTAGAATTACTGCAGACATAACAAGGGTAACTATGAATATAGGGCAAGGTAAGACAAGCAGTATGTCAGCTTCACTAAAATGTCACCAAATGAACAAATCAGAGCGGTCAACCCAAGGTACATATATAAGTATCAAAGTAAGTGGACTTGCTGTTTTCAAGAAGAAATCAAAAATGTAAAGCTGAAACAGATGGACGTCAGATGATAATATAAAAAGCTCTGCTTTGTCAACTAGGTCAACAGCAGAGCTTAAAAACTTCAAAGTTAAATTTTTAACAAACTGAGTGATGAAAACTAGTTTATACAGTGACAAAACAGAATTACCTTTTGAAATGAATCTTCGTCTGTGATATCATAAACTAAAATTGCTCCATTGCTGTCTCTATAATAGATAGGTCCCAATGCATGAAATCTTTCCTGACCAGCCGTGTCCTAGTAAATAATTTCATGTACAGGTCATCAATGCCTGAGTCTCTGTTAAATGCATTCATATTGCAGAAGCAGGGTCATTTACAATGGCTTTTGCTGAGGTGTCCTGTAATAATTAACCAATCCATGGCCCAAATTTGGACGTGCCCTTTCACACCACCTTCTGACACATTGTGAAGGTTATACCATACTTCCTCCTCCCTGGGTATAAGCCCACCCCTCTATTTTTAGACATTTAATGAGTTGATAGAATCTCCAGAGTTTTTTACGTGGATGTTGGGTAAATATTTATTAACATTATTTATCTAAAAAGTATGTTTCATTGGATGAAAATTCTGATTGGTACAGTCGTTCTCTCTTTGATATGACAAGGGCAGTTTGGTTCATGCTTTTACACGAAAACTCAAAGAAATTTACCTTTTAAAAATTGCATATGACCAGTTTTTAGAAAAAAAAATCAGATTGTATTTTAACAAATTCAGCATGGCACAGCATTTTGTTTGGTTAATGACAAACTGAACCTATCAAGGTCAGAAGATGTTGTTTCAGGTCAAATCTTGCATAAAAACATCATGGCGAAAATTGCTTTGTATTAATAGTTATGTACATTCACATGATTTGATAATCACATGATTTGATAATCACATGATTTGATAATCACATGATTTGATAATCACATGATTTGATAATCACACTGTATTACGGGATTCTGCTGTAAAATGGCCCTGGGCTAGTAAACGGCAGTTTGGGTTTTTAAATTTAAGTTTTATCATTTTATGACGTTTATTGTGGACTAGCGTGAATAGGTAAGCTTTGTTTGACAATGAGCTGTAGTCACCGTAAAAAAGTGTTAAATTATTCTTTAAATGTTCAGTTTATCTTTTGAAAACAACTAATTTTTTTGAATTAAAAAAAAATCATGCCGTTTTCCCATCAAAATCCAGGCCAAAAGATCATACTACAACATCACCAAATCTCTTCTGCATTTCGTTCAATAACATTAACATATTTAAATGAGCTATGGTAATTTGATTTACCGTATTCACTTATATTTGAAATTAAGTTGATTTTTATTTGCATTTCATAACAATTCAACGAATTTATTTTTTGTACATTATTATACCGTTAAAATCTTAATATAAACCGCATTTGTAACACACCCAATTCTTAACAAAAATTGAAAACATGAAAAGTATCTATTACTAACCGCACCCCTATTTCAACAAGACCATGACTGACTGGTCCAACCAGCTGGTCCAAAACGGCATTGTTTCTACTCCTATTCATTCATTTCGACAACATGTCTTAAATATTCACACTTATTTATTGTTCAGAGGTGATTAGATGTGAGACATGCAGTCCAACTGCTTTTGTTCTGGTGGCAAACTTTGTCAATACTCCTTATGAATACATCAATGTTTCGGAAATTTTTGACAATGAGCTGTTAATACATTGTATCACTGTAAAAGTGTTAAATCATTCTTCAATCACTACTGAGTAATAATCAACAATTTCAACACTTCAAAAACAAGTAAGTCATTCACTTTTGAACCTCAGCATGGCTGGATTGCGCTACCACACCGTGATCATTTGCTACTATGCAATGCATTCGTGATTGCTTTTATTTGAAACTTTTGTTAGAATATACTTTCTGTTAAATAAATGCATATTACATTGAATATACTGATTATTTTTTTTATCATGTGAACATTTTTTTGAATAACTGTAATTTTTCAACATTTCATGACTCCTATTTTAGTAAGGGGTTCACTCTTTCCCGACGGCTAAATTATAGTGACACCTATATTCAAGAGATTGTATGGTGTATTGTTTGTTTTGTGCATGTGTGAGAATTTACAGCAGAATCCGGTATATAAATTTGATTACCAGTATCAGGAAAAACAATGATCAAGACATGG